GTCATTTTTAATGATCGTTGAAAGCCCAGATCGTAATCGAGATTAAAATTAGATTAATTGAGCAGCCCTACTGGCAAGCAGGATAAATGGTCATATGAAGTTGGTTATCAATTGGCTAAGTTAACCCAGTGTTGTGTGTTCACATCAAAGTGGTGTTTGATGAATCATGTGACTTTTCTTCCACCCAAAATGATCCCTATGACCGGTACAACAGAAATGTTATCAAGTTGTTCAGAACAGAAATATAACGGTAAAATGCAAGACTGTCGTAAAAAAGGAAGAAAAGATGAAATACAGATTTTAGTTCCAGTTAATAAGTTTATCCTTAAGCGCTCTCAGCGCTGCTGTTGGTGGCTGCATATTAGAGCGCTGAAACTTTAAACTGGACCAGTTTAAACATTAAAGATTACAGGCTGATAAAGGAGACGTGGAAATCACTTCAGTTTGTCGGAGATCAAAGCGAAATTAAGTTGATTTATTGAGCAGGTGTTCTAGTAACTGCATTTAGTTTTTATTCTCAGATGCAGACTCGGTGCTGTTTAAGGGTTTGAGAGTAAAGGTTAAACACAGAGACAGAATTCAGACTTTATACAAGCACATTTGATATGAGCGGCAAGCACAGTGTAGGTGTCCTGTTTTAGGATCAGATATTAATGCTTGTTGTACACTGATTATTGTAAAATTGTTTGCTGCCAACAGAAAACAAGAATCAAAGAATAAAGCATCTAAACGTCTATATTATTGATTATTGATTCTAATCAGGGAAACATAAAGATATTACACCCTCGTGCTGTTCCCACCCAGGGAGCATCCAGGAAGTGACGCTATTTTCTGCAGAGAAGGTTGGTTGATTTCATACTTGTTGATCTCTAATCTGCTCCAGAGCAGGTTAGGTCACATCATAGGTTACCTTGGCCATTTACCCTTATAAGAAGTGAATCATCTTCGTAGAATAGAAAATGAAAGGTTAACCCTGAAGTTACCTGGATAAGGCCTCTGCTCGCTCTGTTTTAACTCAGGTGTGACTTCCTTTTATGCTGGTCAGGGAAACTGTTATTGTCAAGAAGACATGAGAATTTTTTTTAACAACAATATTCCATTACCACTCCTTGAACTATTGCATTTTTTTTGCGATGACCTCATTTTTAACCCACCTTGTCTTCCTGTTTTTGTCTCAGGTGCTGGAGATCAGGCGTTGTTTACTTCTCTTTATACCTCATTGGCTCAACAGCTTCCCAGAGAGCCAATGGAGTGGAGGAGGTGAGTTTGTTTTTCTTCTTTCCTTTCAAATTTCACAGGTTAGTTTTTCACCAGCAGCACATTACAGTCAACACAATACATTTGTATTACATTTATTGATCACACAGAAAAACCTCAGGAGCAGAGCACAATGAGAGACGTTCTAGAGGAAGCAAAGGTGTAAAGAATTTAAAGAGGAAGTAGGAGGTCCATTCATCATAAACCATAAATGACATTTACAGGTGCAGCTAAACTGCAGTAGAGACACAAACGGGTTGATTTGGCTGAGCATGAAGTGTAGCAACAGAAAAACACGATAAGGTT